GCCAAGTGAGTTGAAAGACTTGTTACACTTGACAGGAATCACTATCAGCTGTATAACCAGTTATAACTGTCAGGGAAACAAACAGGTAGAAAGGTTAAACAGAATACTCTGGAGGTCAGTACAATTACCTCTTAAATCAAAATACCCACACTGTCTATGTGGCGGGTAGTGATACTTTGAATCCTTCCATTCCATACAATCTCTACTATGTACGGCCATCAGCTGCACCACACGAGAGGCTGTTTAACTACCAGCATAAATCAGGTACAGGATCTTCTATACCCAGCTGGTTAACCAACTCGAAGAAGGTAATTCTTACAGAGACATGTATAAGAAAGCAAATATGAACCATCAGTTGTGGAGGTAGAATTACTACAAGCCAGCCCAGAATACACTTATATACAAAAGCCAGAAGAATCGGTACCCATAAAAGGAAATTTACAAGGGGAATCTGTAACTGAAGCCAAACTGGACCTCATTCGGACACTGGTAGAAGTGAAGAGAACCCAGTTATACAAGAATCACAAATGCCGGATTGGTACATCACAGACCTTGAGATCATAGAGGTCAGGGATTATGACAGATTATTTGTAAAACCCTATCCTGCTCAACGCTTGGACTTATGAAGTGGGGGGAATGTAGCAGTAATTGCCATGCAGTATAGTACCAACAGAGTTGCTAGATTACCTCCCTTGAAGGGAACTCTCAGTAAATGGAAAGTAGCAAACACGACACAGAAAAAATAAATGCTAGTCACATAATGTAGATCTGGTACATTTAGTTAGAATCTTTTGTTGAGTAAGCTTATGTTTCCACAGCCCCTGGCTATGAACTAATAGGTGCCTTATAAAAATTACATTACAACATATCTCTTTGAAAGCATTGATTAAAATAATCTCTATTAGAGATTGACATGTTGTGCCTAAATCAAAGAAATTACAAGTGCTTATTAAATGTATTGCATAAAAAGAATCCTTCAATTTCAACTTTTTTGAAGGACACACAAAAAAAAAATATTCTTGAAAACTAAGTGATAAAATTAGTAGAATAGCTATATATAAATTTTTTTCTATCATCATGTATATATTGCTCCTTGAAATTATTTCTAGATTGATAAACAAAATTATTTACTTTCCTAATTGTTTAAAATTTAAGCTTAAAAATTGAACATTAAAAGCTATATGTAAGAGGGGAAACTGTTGAAATTTGCATATATCCTTGTATAATTAATATGGCCACTTTTTTTTCTTTTTTTTAATTGGTTCCCCAGAAGATAGGAGAGAAAAAAATGTAATGAAGTTTCTTCAGTGAGATCTGTTTTGTAGGAACAAAAATGAAATTTTCCTGTCCATACCTGTAAATAAACAACTCAGAAATGAAAATTTCTAAAGATTCTTAAACTATATTTTTCAGATTTTCTAGCATAGTTCAAATGTTTTTTGTTTGTTTTTCATTTAAAAAGAAAAAAAAAAAAATACTTATCTTTTCAAAAATGCATATCCAAAATTTGAGACAACCTAATTATAATACGTATAAAAAAAAAAAAAAAAAAATCCATTCTCCCTCTTTCAAACCTATTATTTCCACACCATGAAAGTTTTAATTTTCACTTCCACAGTTTTTTTTCTACTCTACATTTTGTAGTTCATTGTTCAATAGATCATTTAGATCCAAGTTTGAACTTAAAAGAATAAAGCATAACATATTTTTTTGCTTTTCAATTCTTGCCACAAAATCATACATTCATTTAAAAAAAATAAATAAATAAATAAAATAAACAGTAATTGTAAATAGTTGACAATTTGCAGTTCACGGTCATATTTACACATTGCAGAAACCTCCATTTTGTACAGAAATTCATACTGACCTCATTGATTTACCAGAAAATAAATTGAGGCTTACTGTAAGCACTAATTTCCTTTGTTTTCTGGATACTGTTTTAACTATTTTTGAAGCAATGGGTCAGCTCAAAACAACATGCATCAAACAGATAAAAAGCATATTTGCTTCTGCTTGGAGAATTTTTAATAATGCTAAACCAGTTCCTGCATTTGGTGAAATTGTTTCCAGGCCATGTTTTCTATAGAGGTTTGAATTGGGTTAAATATGTCTGTGAGTGTAGACCTGGGTTGAAACATGCCTTTTTGTGGTCCTTGTGGACATTAACTTTTGATTCAAGAATAAAGAGAAATACTGTTTGAAATACCCCCACCACCCCACAAAAATCTAAAGACATTTTTTTAACAGCAGAAATGGGTTATGATTTATTAAATGCTGATTTGTTTGCCTATACCTTTATCAAAACAATTAAGCATCATGAAAATATAAATCAGCAGATTCTTTTTTTTCCTTTTTCTTTCCGGAACTTTCTCATTAAAGTAAGGCAGAAGCAGTTCCTGTTAATAGCTTATTTAGGAGAGAGAAAAAAAAATAGCTCACAGTTTTGATTTACCAGATATACTTTAATTTTGGCTCAATCATAAGATTATGAGGACAAATCTTTTATATAAGCCAGTTTACAAAGTCTAAAATCATTTTCTCTGCATTCTTTCAACTTTGGCTTCTCCGAGTCCCAGATGATTGCAATTGTAGCTGAATTGTAATTCACACATCTTTGCTTGACTGACATATGTCATAATGGCTAAAATGTTACAGATCAAGGGAGTTCAAATGTGCCATTATAAATTTTTCTTAGTAAATTTTTCTGTTAATGGTGGTATGCAGATACGTTTCTTTTTTTTCTTTTTCCATGATTCCATCAGAAGACACAATTGGATATACTTGGACACCTGCCATAGTTAGCAAGATAGTCATATAGGCGATTGCTAGTGAATATCTCAGTATCAGGATTTTTATAGAGAAATTTCTAGAGAGAGGTAAATATTTTCAGGATTCTATTTCATTTTCTATTCCAGGGTTGTATGCCAGCCAACTGGTGTAGATTAATATTACAGGTTTGCTTTGAGGCATCTGATGGTGAAACGGAAAATGACATGTCATTTCTTTTTGGTGTGGGTTGGGTAAAGGTTGGAAAGTTTCTTCTAGGCAGGGTAAGTAGAATTAACTCAGCATCTATAATGGATGAATTTCTTTAAAAGATTCATTTCTGTTACTTGGGAGCTTGTTATATTGAGACTTTTTACATGATACAAGCAAAGGTTCCTCCATTTTGACAGAGTAGGCAGGATTTTATATTTTTTTTTCAATTTTTAAGAAATAGCTAAATAGAAACTGGGCGTCTTGCCGAAAAGGTGACAGTGAACTATTCTACTAGACCGTTACTGCTTAGTAGAGAGTTTGATCCTAACTGGGTGACCAACGCTTGTATCCATGTGACTATACTTAGTAAATATGTAGAAGTGATAAAAATAAATCACAGCAACCGATTTATGATATACAAAAGGTCAACTTAAAAAGGTCACTTTTTTAAAAACAGTGACTTAAGTGTGGCCAAAATTATCATAAATAATGTAATGGTAAAAAGGTTTTTTTTTTTTTTTGTACTGAAAGTTCTCTTGACTGATAATAATCAGATCATTTGTCCAGCAACACAAGAATGTCATGTCAATCCATTGACAGAGACAAAGTTTTTCAGATTGTATGCAAACTTCTAAAATGAGATCTGAATGGAGTATTCTAAAGTCCATGGCCCCAAAATAAAAAAAAAAACAATTTGGGATAGAAACAATTTAAACTATCTTCATTTCCCTGATGCAGATATGAATATAATTAAAACTGTTTGCAAAGCTCTATTTCAGGTTATTTTAAATGCTTGGTGGGTATTTTTTTTTTCAGGTGAATGTCAGAATTGGTCAAAAGACAGCAGACATACAGCAACATTACCCTCATAGAATCAATAAATACTCAGTCACTTGGACCACTGACTGATCAATTTGGGCAAATATATAAAAATGGAAGAACAACATCACCTTGTGGAAATCGATTTTGATAAAAGGGACATTGTCATCAAAATGAAGCATCTTATTAAAAATGGTTTTCATTAAGAATGGGTTAATTTTTGAGGAGAAAGTGATGATTAACAACAGATGGTACATCAAGATGGTCTTTTTCTTTATAAAATCTTTAAGGAGCAAAAGAGATTTGAGAATAATTATTGTCTTGCAAGCAGAGAAAGTTTTTTCTTAGACATCAGATTTTTAATAAGAATAGCATAGAAGAGAAACTTGGTGACAATTCCTGGAATGGCCCTATGAAAGCAATGTTTGCTTGGCTGATCACTATTGGCTACTGTCAACCTCAAAGTACTCTCTTTGTGAAGTGATGCACTTGGTGAGATTATAGTGCTATTGCTGGAAATATTCTTCAAATTCATTTTCTGGAATACCTTCAGGTAATGTAGTCACATGTTACTAGAAATCAGCAAATCTTTGTTCTTTCAGGTGCATTTTTTCAGTTCTGGAAATGAGTAAGAACCACAGGCAGATTAAACCTGGTGAATACGGTTGATGGTTCATCTTTGTCATGGATTTCTTCGACAGGATCTTAAGCTCCTAACATATCATGCACAGAAATATTGTCATGATAGAGAAACCACTTGTCTTTTTGTAGTCTTTCCAAAAGCATTACTTTCCATATGTAGCTACTATTAGAAATATTTGGTAAGCTTTGGTACTGTCAAAAGAACCCTGTGTATCAGATCCTTTTAGCTGATTCTATTATTGAAAATATAAAGGTTTCAGCTTTTTATCCTCAAATTTAACTGAACTCATTCAGTTTCACGTGTCTATCAGCAGCATCTGGAAGAAGAGGCGAGGTAATTTCTTACAGGGTCGCATTTGCACATCTCCTTTAACAAGCTTATATGAAAAACTTGTTTTTTTTTTCTGAATTTTCATGAGATTCACAAAAATGTCTCGGAGTAATAGAAAAAAAAAGAAACAAAAAAAAACTACCAAAGCTTTGAAAGCCACTGCCTGAATGTTTCTCTTTCAATAAAGAAACATTAAAAGAATTTTAAATACATTGCCTCTTCCTGGCAATTAAGTTTCTGACCAGCATTTCATTTCTTCAGATTCAACTTCTTCTTTTATAAGAGTTGTCAAGTTTATTGTTTCTATTGGGCTGGTTGTTCGCATAACTGATGGTGACTGAGATGAGGGATCCTGTAGGAGAGGCAGGCTATCAGCTTCTATGACAATTGGTTCAACTTCATTTTTCACGGAGGAAGATGATGATGATGGTGATGAATGAGTGGCAGATGATGATGAAAGAGTAGAAAGTTTAAGTGAGGAGGCAAGTGAGTATAAGTTTGCAGTGGTAGTTGTAGTGACTATGTTGCTTGAGGGGCTCGAGCCAGAAGACGGCAATAAATGATGTGACTCTGTCATACCAATTTCAGAGTCTCGCCTCCGTTTTGTCGTCCGCCGTCCGCACTCTTTATCACTGAGATATTTCCTCCGGTTTTGCAGAGCTTCTCCAAGCCGAATCCATACAAACTGTTTATGACGAGACAGTTGAGGTGCAGCTCGGCAGATATAATGAAAAAATGCTTCCTTTTTGTCTGCAGTGATCATCTTCAGTGGTGGTGCTGTGTTCCAGATATTAGCAGTTGTGGCAGCTTCTCTCAGAAGTGAGCGCCCTAACCGTTGTGCTTCAGTTGGCCGACCCCGCCTCATTTTACGACGAAGCAGCTCCTCGGCTGAGAAATCTTTAATACGACTTGAACCCCAACCATCTATAACATGGACATCGTTGTCTGTTATGTCATCATCATCATCGTCGTCGTCATCTTCGATCACGTGAGGTTTAATGTTAGACTGTTGTACTGGAGTTGTCTGTGTTTCAAATGTCTTTGGTGTGGAGTAGATTGATACGTTAGTTGTATTGCTAACTGGAATGGAGGTAGAACGTGCAGTGCCAGCTGCAATCAGTCTTGAAGTGATCTTCTCATGGGTACTGATAGGGCTTGGGAATAACCGAACTGGATTAGTGGGAATCTTTACTCTTGAAAAAATGGAGTCAGAGTTCACTGCAGTATTGAGATAAGTTTCTTTCTGCAAATTGGTTTGTGGCGCCGACTTCACATAATCCAAATTATTCTGAAGTTCTGAATGTATACTGGGCAAACGATTAACTGTTTGTGAGTTAATCTTGGTTGGCATGGATACTGCAATGGGAGCTGATGAAACAGAAGACGACATGGTGGTCACTGAAGGAATGGGTGCAGTTGCAACCACCTGTGTTGTTGGGACTGAAGGTGCAATTGTCCTACCCATGCGGCATGGAGTATTGTTGGGCCCATAGAGGCCACGTAGCAATTTCCGAATTAGGAATCGGTCTTTGAAGACCTCAAAAATGTCTTTCAAGTCAGCATCAGTAAATTCCAAGAGCATTTCCCCTTCCACCTGATTATCTGGAATAACAAAAATATTATGAATTAAAAAAAAAAAAAAAAAATTAGAATGGATTTATTAATCCAACAGATTTGTATCACTTTGAATGTTATCATTAGCAGATACTCATATTTGAGTTTATATGTAAAACTGTATATTATATTCACCAACTGGCCTGAAATTTTGAAAAATCTTATTAAAGAAAATGTGCACTCTTTGGCAGGAATCGAATTTGCATCCCTCAGGGTAGAGAGGGAGCCACTATTTATGCCAGTGTGCCTATACCACTTTGGCCACAGAGACAGATAGTCAGGCAAAATCAAATTTGATGCTTTTAAACATAATTTCTCAAAATTTTTCATATTGGCACACAGTTTCATACTCAAACAAAGAGAATTTATTAGAATGGATTTTTATTAATCCAACAGATTTTTATCATTTTAAAGATTATCATTAGTGGACACTCGGATTTGATTAGGCACTCTATTTATATATTAAACAGTCTGCTTCTTCATGGTCAAAGCAGAATAGATGCACTGAACTAAACAGTGGCTCTCTCTCTACCCCAATAGATGCAGGTTCAATTCCTGCTGAAGAGCACAAATTTTTCTTCAATACATAAATGGAGTGCCTACTCAAATATAAAGTTTTTATATATATATATATAAAATGCATTTATGAGATATGGTAGGTGTTCACAAAGTCTTTAGACAATTTCAAAAAGTCATTACCAAAAACTTAGAAGAGGTGACAACAAAATTTTTGTTGCATATTAATGTTATTATTAAACTTTTTTTTTTTTTTTTTTTTAAATTATAATCAATAGTTTTATTAATGTTTTTATGTTTCAGACAGAAACTGAATATTACTTCAATGTCCTTCATGCAACGAATTGGATTCAATACAGAAATTTATTAACTATTAGCTTAAAAACCACCCTATCATTGGGCCTTCATCACAATAGATGATGGAGTAGATGTGATAAGCAACAATAAACTACAGAAGAACTCAAAATTGATCACTGCATTTAAGGATTGCATTAATATTTAAGCTTAACTTTTAAAAGTTCAACAATAATTCTTCTGGCATCACTTAATTTTAAAAAAATTTGATGTATGAAGGTCCTTACTTTCCGTACAAACAATTATTTTTATTTCATGGGCGACTTTCACTGGATTTTGCAATTGATTTCGATTATCTCCAAGTTTATTTACAAGTCATAAAAATTGCTATCAAAAAATAAATGTCACAAAAAAAAAGTGTAAACAACAGTAGTAATGAAAACTTGGGAACCCAAAATTTCAGGATTGTGGGTCCCAATCTAGCTCTGAATATTTTTAATTTGTTCATGGAGTTGGCTTGATTCCAAAATGGTATGCTATGTTGGGCTACAACCTCTAGGAGTAAAATTGAAAGAGTGTGATACAGTGACATTTCAACAGTATCCAGTTTCTGTGGTAATTTTACTAAAATTTTTCTGTACATTATTTACATTATTCAGACTATTGTCCTCATCTTTGTCAACATATTTATTATGTTTTGGCTGTTGTATGCTCCAGCCTTCTTCAGGTGGTTGGAATGTCGAACTGAACCCTTTATTTCACTCACTGGGGTAAATTGTTCTAGTTCCGCATGCCATGTTTAATGGATGTCAGTTATCAGTTATCTTCTGCTAATTTCTCTCTCCATGTTTTCCACTGCCTTAACCGGGTATTGAATTCACACTGTTTGGGTCCTGTCACTGGATCTAACCAATGCCTTTATCCACTGTGCCATGTGTCCTCAAGAACAGTCTACCCCAGTGAGCAAAATAAAGGGTTCACTTCGACATTTCAACCATATGAAGAAGGCCGGAGCGTACAACAGCCAAAACATTGTAATAAATATGGCAACACTGATGAGGACAATAGTTCGAATAATGTAAATAGTGTACATAATACCTCATCTTAGAAATATAGACAGATACCAAATTTTTCTGCCTAATGGTTTTGTGGATGCCCTGTATTGGAGATTATATATTTGTATGCATTTTTTAAAATAATTTGAACTTAGATATGCATGTGATGTATTTGTCGTTTGGCAACATATGTAATTGGGTGTATGTAAGTGTCTTGTTTTATATATACAAGTAAATGGACTGCTCCACTATCTTAAGAGTAGGTTATTTAAATATTACAACAATTAGTTTTCAATCCATGCTTGATGATCCCCACATGCAAAAAGGAAAAAGAAATTTATTAGTGTGTGTGTGTGTATATATATATATATATATGCACACACAAGGGTCAAAGGGTCCATTTCTTCCAGAATAAATAATTTTGTGTCATATAAAATTAATTATTGATAATTTTTCACTATCCTCTTAGTACATGTATCTTTTTTGGTATTTCTCAGGATAACTGTTACAAGTGATATTATTTAAGGAATGTAAATAGAGAAAATTCTTGTTTAGCAAGAAAAGACAAGCAAAAGCAATGAATTTACCAGCCTTGTTAGTAGGGAGCATGAGGAAAAAAAAAAAGTCACCAAAAAGCAGAAATTCTTTTGCTTGTGTTAGAAAAGGCTGTGGCTTCAGCCTTCTCCATTTTATTATTCCCTTCAAGCTGGTTGCATGAAAATAAGAGAGACAATAATAGCATGTGTTGGGTGGGGGTCACAGAGAGAAAGCCATTGAAAAGCAGAAATTCTTTTGCTTGCTTTCCAGCCATATTAAGCTTGCAGACACTCTCTACTGAAGTGATGATGTTATGTCTTAATTGTGTACAGCTGAAATCAAAGACTTTCCTATTCAAAGGATTTATAGTTGGACAGATTTATATAAAATTTGTGTTGTTCAGTTCTGAAGTATATAGGGAAAAATCTGATGACTTTAGTGTAACATCAAATTTTTTTTTTATTTTTTTTAACTAACTTTTAAAAGGTTTTAACCCATGGAGAGTATTCTTGACTCCTTAAGTCATGTGACCATTACCCAGAAAGTTCATACATGGAGTGAAAAGGAGCAACTGGCAAAGTGTATTTATTGCAATTAAAAGGTATGTTTTAGTCTGTTTCAATGCCTTAAGGTTTCATTTTAAATGTTCAAAATTATTTTTTTAAAGTTATGTAAAAAAAAATCTCTTGATAATATTGAACATGTTAAATTTTGTTAAAGGAGATTTTAAAAATATTCACTGTAATACCTAATTTTAAAATTAAATTAAAATTTCATATATTAATGTTGGTGTTATTTTAAAGAAAGAAACAATTTACATTAAAACAATTTTAATTTAGTTTATGTCAAAATTACGAAATTTCACTTTTCCAGTCATCAATCAATGCCATTTTCCAACACCTGTTGTCAAGTGATAAGAAACTTATTTAAATATTCTTATGTGATTAGCCTGCATAATGGACTGCCTGCCCTGGTTCCCAAGTCACCCTTTACCATTGATATATACATACACATGAAAGGGGATGCCAAGAAATTTTAAGTTTTATTTTATTTTTTTTTAAATGTTTTATATATATATATATAGTCTAGCCAATTATATTTAGTTTTTTTTGTTTCCATCACTTTTATTAAATATCGCACATTGTGATAACAGAAGATCTGCCGTCACTTTAGTCTGATGATGCAGCAGCCAAAAAAGTGTGACTAGAAACAAATTTAGAACCTTTCTGCTTTAGTTTCCTTATTTCCAAAAATCGATATAAATCAAATTTCTCTAAAACTGCAATCTTATTTACAATTCTCGAATCTTCAATTACTACTGTCAGTCTCTAGAGTCTTAGCAGCAAGGCCAGAATTCTTCCTTGTATATGTTTTGCTACAATGTATCTATGCTTCATGGATGTGCTCGTTGCATAGGAATTATTGTGAGATCAGAAAACTGAGTTCGAATTCAGACAGACTGAAGTAGTTTCTTTTATTTTTACATGTGGTAGAAGTATGAAGCCAACTTTTCTCTTTCTAAGTATGACTTAAACTGCAAGGCAGACTTGGTTCTCTAATCTTTGATTGCAGCCAGAAGGTCAATGCCAATAAAGAGATTTACTAAGTTTAGCTTAGTGTGACACAAACACAAATATGAGTACATAGTGACTATCAAAAAATAGTAAGTCTATGATCAATCAGTTATGTGCCATGCATGATACATGCTTAGGTGATCATGTATCTTTCGATACATGACTGATGAGGCAGATTTCTTTTCCTGCAGTAGGTTACCATTTCTTTCTGCAGGAGACTAGTTACCATCCAAGACTATAGAACCTGGTCTGTCCTGTTATTTACACATAGCTAGGAGGGGAAGAGGATTCATACTTTTCCCAAGGGTATTAGCATTAGTGAACATAATGAATTTGACAAATTTGAACTCGGCTCCCCGATTCCTCAATCTGAGCCGCCATCCATTATTCCACTGAGTTTGCTAATCATTACTTCATGGTGAAGTATTGAACCAACAAAGTACATTTGAATGGCTATAACCATGATCATATGATCTTGTTATTAGTTTAAATAGCAATCATAGTAAAAAAAAAAAAACATCAAGACTGAAGAAGATATTTACAGATATTCCTGAAGCAGCCTTCAATATCAGGAAAAAGAAAATCTATTTTTAAACAATATCAAAAGATAGTTTTAATTTAAAATAAATAAAATTGGAAAATACTTATATATTGATATATCTGGACTAGTCTAGTGTCCTCATTTTGATTGTTATAGTCATAACATTTCACCAAGGCTTGTTTAAAGCCAACTGGGCTCTGTCCTAGGATCATCTATTATAGCATTGTCAAATACACACAATAATGTACATGTAACATCACATTGCAGGTTTTACAGAGAACAGAAACAATTTTAATTTTCTTCTGTATTCTCAAAAGGTTAGTAGTATTTGTTTATATTTTGATTAAATAGCTTAGTGGATTAAGATGATAGTTCATTAATTTGGTGACATCGTAGTTGTAAGTTCAATCACCGTGCTGGATAACAAAGACTAAGTGAAAACTGATAAGTTCTAAATAAGAATAAGCTGAGATATTTCTAGACATAGACAATAAAATGAGAACAGTCTATCCCTGTAGATTAAATAAATGGTTAAGTTCGAAATTCCATGATTAATATTAAACACCTAAGAAGAAAATGTGATAATAACAACAAAGATGAAGACACAAGATATAGCTGTTAGTTTCTAGGCTTGAACCAGATCTAATTTAAAGAGTCCACTACTCAAATTAACATCACAGTTTTCAGTAAAAATTACCACATTGTAGTGACATATAAGACACTTTCCATTCCTAGAAAGAATAAAGGAAATGTGTATATATTAGTCAGAGTTCTCAATGTGGGTCAGAGAAAAAAAAAACAACAAAAAAAAAACTTTACTTTTTCTCATTTTTTATTTACAAAATTTTGTTTCTGGAATTACAACACCCTGATACTCTATTGAACTTTTTTTTTTTTTTAGTATACTTCACTTTATTAATTTAATAATTAGTTATGAATTAAAACAAATTACTGTACAATGTACATGTATTCAAGTTTTAAAATCGAACCAACATTTTCTGTTGCTATTAAATTTGTAAAACTCCTCTATAAGAATAATCTAGCTAAATGTATATGTACTAATATGAAAAAGAATGAAGATTTTCAATAATATATGAATATTATTTGGAATGTGCTTCTTGATTTGGACAACCTTGGAAAGAGGGGAAAGATATTCTGACATATGATGAAAAAGGTTGAGAACAACTGTTTGATGATACAGTGGCTATTAGTGGAATTTCAAAGCTTCCTATTTTGTTAATTTTAAAACAAATTACTTTTCATTCTATTATAAATATATGAAGTTCTTAATATTTTGTTTTAATAAAAATTGAATAAACATAAAAGAAAAAGAGTTCTCTGCCATCCAATATTTCAGACTGTATGAAATGTTACCCAGCCAAAAGTTTGGAGAAAATGAAATGGAACTTTATTTTTTCTTACTGTAACACCTACTTTCTATTGTCTTCTTCAAAGTAATACCTTTGTCAGTCAGCATACTGATTTACAAAGGGTAGTGGCAAAAGGTTGGTGCTATATTCTGAACTTTTTGATAGCACCTCATATACAAATCTGACCTAAGAAACAATCGGTAAGAAAACCCTGCTCATTGTTCTAAGATCAAGTATCTGTATCCCCATTTTTTAAGTAAAGAAAATTTTAACAGTGCAACACTACAGGATAATGGGGAAAGTTTTTTTTCTTGGGTTGGAAGCTCATCCCAATTTAACCTCTTCTATCAGTACCAATAGCTAAAAAATCATAATGGTTTATTATTTCAATAATCTGTAGTAACTGTTTCGACAGCATCATTTAAATCTTAGGCTGTTAGCGTTTAAATAAAGATGTTATTTCTGTTTGAAGTTTGACTATTATTTTTACTTTAAAAGGTTGACGCCCCAATAAAGTTGAGATGCAAAAACAAAAATTTCAAATTGTCTGTTGGTCCATGAAAATAAGTCATTTTCTACGCATATGCACAGTTTCTCTTCCTGTGATCACGGCTCTCCACAGCTTCCTATATTGTGTTGTACATGAGATTATTAACACCAAAAAAAAAAAAAAAAAAAAAAAAAAAAATTAATACCTACGACACCTAATACGACACCTCTTAGGCCCTAGTAAGTAAAATTAACAAAAGTGTTTTTAAAATAAATTAATTTTTAAAGTTTTTTTTTTTTTTTTGCTTCGTTCATTCTGGACAACAATGTTTTCCATTCATTTTTAAAAAGAAAAAATCAAAATAATTTAAAACTGAAAAATAAAAATTATCAAAAAAACCTATGATTTATATAGTCGAGAAAAAAAAGTTGATAAAAAAAAGGAAAGTATAATTAAGTTTAGAATTTTCAGACTAAAATTTAATTTGTCAGAAAAACAAAAACAAATCAGTTTTCTAAACAATAGAAAAATGAAATGTATTTAAAAACATTTAAGCAAGTGCTTCAGTAAGTTGACATTTTAAATTTAAATTTTAATGAAAAGTAGGAATTTGTATAAAGTTTAATTTAAAAAGCGAAAATGTCTAACGATAGAAAAGACATCAAGGTACATGTTTTAAATGTTTTTCAAAAATCTATGAATTTTTAGTTTCCTGAAAAGTTGATTAAAAATACAAAATTTGTACCCAAAATGAGAAATAGGTAATATTTTTTTTTTTTGCAATTGGATTTACGACAACAATCTCTCCAAAAAAAAAAAAAAAAAAAAAAAAAAGACGTACATGAAAATTTTTTTTAAAAAAATATATAAAATAAAAATATTAAATCGATATTAAATCGGACTTTCAAATTGAAACATCTAAAAAGACGTTTAAAATCTTTTTGATTTAACGAATTTATTCAAATTCTGATCATTAAAAAAAAAAAAATAATTTTAACAAGTCTTATCCGGACATTAAAGGCCCTTAAAAGAGAACCCGACATTAAAATGCAATATATAACAATGAATAAAAACAATTAAATCCACGCACTAGTAAAACAGACAATTTAAACCTAAACGGATTTGTTAAGTGTTGTGTTTACAATACATAAAAGAAATTGTATATAGATAGAGAAAATAAATAGCATTAAAAATTAAAGGATTTAAAATAAAAATCGCTATTATTATCGTTGTTGTAATGTGCGTGAAAAGTCTTGTGATATTATTAATGGCTTTTACTCACGTATTTTGGGTTGTGTCTGTGTGTAAGTCAATACAGAGGAAAATGAGAGAAAGAAGCCACACGATGGGAGATGATTGTGTATAAATAAATTCTCTTAAAAAAAAAAATAAAACTTAGAGAATTTAAAACCTGCTGTCAGTTTTTTTTTCTAAATAAATTTTAAAAAAATTGGATTATTAAAATTTTTAAAGGGGCCATGAAAACGGTTTAAAAAACAAATTGATAAAATAAGATATAGTGAAAGAAAATAAATGGATTTTTATAGATAAAGAAATACATTAGATTTTTTTCCGTTTTTTTTAATAAGATTTTTTTTTGTTTTTTATAAAGAAATGTTTTAATGTTTGGTGGGGAACTTACCTCTAAGTGCCTTTAGCCCATTTTGGCTAATTCCGTGTTTGCTAAGAAACAGAATAAGTGCGTCTGTGTTGAAATGTTTCACTTGTTGTACACCAACTTCTACAGCTGCCATTATTATTCTTATTATTCTATTATAATTATTACTGCCTCTATTATAGTTCTTTTTCACCATTTTGGGTTACACGTTAAAAAACGGCGATCGCCAACAAGATGCTTTTTTTTTTTCCGCGTCATGTCGACCGAATTCAGTTTTCCCCAAGACAAAAATGACTATTAAAATCCCTCCCCCTTTTTAACAATCGCAACCCGATGTCTGTTTTCCTACTGCTGTAGCTGACGTCTCCTCTTTCTCCTTCCCTGTAAATCAGCGGTCATTTACTACACGGGATTTTTTTTTTCCTTTTCCCCTTCTCCATTTTTTGTGCTGTAGAAATTTCTTCTTTCGTTGTTGGTTGGTGATAAAAAATGGCCAAAAGGGTTAGAAGAAAAAAAAAAAGAAGAAAAATGGGGAACTGGGTTTAACAAAATGGAGAAAGCATTAACAAGGTAAACACTAAACAGCCAGTATTATTAATTATGGGAAGCTGTGAAAGCAGCAGAGATATATAGTCATTAAAAGTGTGTTAAAATTAGAACAGTGTGACCTTGTTTAAGAGTTGGCAAGACGTCGTTACATTATGGCGAATAGAATGAGAGAAGAGGAAAGAATCTAATCAAGTCGACGTTGGTGATTCGCTATTGCCGCATTCTTTACACCGGCCATGTTGATGGGCCAACATGATTTGACCAACAAGAAAAACAAATGAGAATTCATTTTGCGGCTTTGCCTCTCCATTCTTGTTCAGCATTCAATTAAATTAATTAATGAGTTAAATTAAATTAAAATCCACATTAACTTTTTTGTTTTATTTATTGCTAATTTATCAAATATATTAAATAAAATCGAGAACATCTTTTTGTTTGAATTTAGAAGATTTCAAGTAATTTTTAATTTTAATCATAACTTTTTTAATTAACAAAAAATTCAGAACACTTTTCTTATTAACAGAAAAAGCTATAACGAAGTAGTCGAAATACACTCGAAAAATAAGCGAGTGGTACAGTTTGTTCAAAATTAGTGTTTTAAAATGAAAATAATCTATTTTAAAATACTATGCAACTAAAAAGTTAAGACTTGAAAAACAAATATTTACCTAAAAATATTTTTAAATTTGAAACTTAGTAGTTTATGTATACTTTTTTAAAAACTATATTCGAATTAATTTAAAATTAAGACATTTAAAAAAAAATAACCTTAAAACATTTTTTCTTAAATTAAGAGGGATCTTACTTTTCCGAAAATAAAAAAAGTTTTCCCAATTTTTAAAGATATACGTTTAAAAAAAATTAATTACTGACACCAAAAGAAATTTGGTTGTGACTCAACATTTTAATGGAGGCTAACCTATATTAAAATAGAAGTAATAGCATGTCTATAACAGTTACTTGTTCGATATCAATTTCCTCCTCCTCCTCCTATCTATTTAATGAACTCAAAATCGATACTGCTTTGCTTTTATTATTGCTGCAGTTATACGAGCAAACGGGAGGGAAGAAAAATTAAGCTATTATCTCCTTTTTTGAGGCGAGGTTACATACCATTAATTTTTGGTTGGGGGGGGGAAAATGACAGAACTGTCCGAACAGGCGGGAAAAAAAAAAAGAGATTATAATTCGTTCCTCTTTTTCCTCCTTTCTTTCCTTCATAAATATTTTTTTCGCAAGCAAGGCAGGTTACTGGCTTTTACAATTTGAGTGAATAGAGCTAAGGACAGACATTATTATTGCAATGTTTTGATTTTTAACGAGAGAAGTGAGTCATTGACTGACTTAGTTGCAATAAGGTCGACGACGCCATGCCGTATCCAGGAGTGGAAAAATGAAAAAAGTGTTTCGTTTTTTGTTTGTTGTTTTTTTTTCCTTTTAGTTAACTTAAGGATTTTTTTTTTCTTTGCTGAAAATATTTTGGCCAAAGGATTTTAAGAGTTATGCATCTGTAAGAGAATTTTATTGTGATAAACTATGCAATATTACTTTTTTTAAACTGATGTTAATTTATGAAAGTTCATTATTTTTATTTAATTTAAAGTTTAAACATTGTAAAAATTATTAATAAAAATATGAATTTAAAAAAAATATTTCTTAACTTTTTACTTCATTTGCAAGTATTAAAAATAAGATTTATTTAAAAGAAAAGGCAACTTTTTAATTTATTTTTGTTGTAATCCATACACTATTTAATTTAACGAATTTAATTTTTTTGTGCCATTCATGAATGATTCATGAATAATAAACTTCAAGTTCTAATTGATCTTACATTTTCTCACTTTTCGGGGGGATTTTGTAAGCAGGACTAACAATTAATTTTATAATTATTTCTAAGTTATAATTTATAACTTAAATGCTTTTCACTTTCGACATTTTATTTTTTCACGTCTTCAAAAAAAGTTAATGCACTTTAAAATTAAAAATGTTTGTTATTAATGAAACAGTAAAAAAAAAAAAAAAAATGAAATAATTTTTAAAAAATATAGTTGATGAGTTACTTTTCATTTTTTTTTAAGCTTAGCATATAGATATTTTTTTAATGAAATTTTAAAATAATAGTCGATAATAAAATATGGATGCAGTCAGATTTTTTTTTTCTTTACACGCAAGAAATACCTCTTAAAATATTACAATCTTTAACAAACAGCCACTTGGATTCGTCCATCTTTCCCAATAAATTCTTCTATCATTCCTTCTTTGAATAAAGTTTCTATTTTTTTTTTCTTTCTTTCTTTCTTAACAATAGAACCCACAAGACTGAAACCATTTCTGCTCAGCACTCACACTAGCTGTTTAAATAAATAAAAGCTATGAACTTGGAGGATCTCGTCTGCTAAACATTTATTTTAAGGAGGTGATCAAAAATGGCTTCTCGCTATATCTCCTTCTACCCCTCTCTCTCTTTATCTGTATTTTTTCTCTCTTTCTCTCTAGTTTCAATAAGCACGCCCACTTAAATTTCCGACAATTTAATGAGTTTTTCTTTTTACACTTTTCCTTTGCAAAAATTACTTAAAAAAAATAAAAATTTACTCTATAAATACCGGCTTCTTTTCTTCAGTATTTCGACAGCTTGTATGGTTTTCAAATTTTAATTTTAAACTAAATTTTTTTAGCGTCAAAGAATTAAGACACTATTTTCAAATAAATGAACTTTCAAAAAGTCTAGTGTTATCAACTAATTTCTTTTTCCTCCGTTGGTTTTTAAAATGGTCTTCAAAAATACTCCCATCCCAGGTGTAAAAAGTGTATAATTTTAATGGGATAAAGCTACTTAACTTGTAGGATTCACAGTTCAAATCTACTGCATCGTTAATGAGGCTATGTAAAAAAATAAATATTTGTAAATGAATACACGTGTTTGAGTGACATTCCTATTTATTTACGGTGAAGTTATCGTCTACGAGTAGTCTATCTCCCCCCCACTCCAAAAATTGTTATAAATGGTGATTTTCTAAGCGTAGCTTAGATGTGGTACAAGGCCGAAAGTATGGGGCACCCAGATCGAACTCACTATTCAATCATAATTGATCTCGCGAGACAAGCTTGCTAACAATTACAGCACGTTGAAGTGCCCATGAAAATGTACATAATTAACAGGTGCATTTTAAAATTTTATTTTAATGCTACTTTCAATGTCTACTCAAACAAATTTATCCACTAACGTTTAAATAATATTGTGGAATTAAAAAGTCCATTAATTCAAATTGCTTATCGCTGAGGTACCTCCACAGATAACCTAGTAAAAATGCATTTTTAATAATTTTAATTGAACTTAAATTTCGGTTTTATTTGAAAGATAGCGTAAGAAAGGAAAGTTAATCCAACTTAAAGAAATCATTTACTTTCGTAATAAAAAGAAAAAGTCGTTTTTAAAACATTGATAAGTTCGGTATTTACCAGGCGGGATGTGGCACAAGGCCGGTTTTTACGTAGGGCTTTTCGAGCTCGTAGGCTCGGGCAAAAATTGCCCGTAGAGACCCTGTATACACGGGGTCAGGTAGCTGTCTACTTCCCAAGACGAGACTCTGCCGTTTGTCATAGCCTCCTCTGGGGTTTCTCTCCGCCCGGAGGCAGAGAGTCAATAAGCAGAATTAACTGTAATCGTCAACCGCTTTTTAACAAAAAAAAAAAAAAAAACATTGACAAGTTCAAGTTTACTCATCACTCATTGAACTGCCATTATAAACGAAAAAATGCAAACTAAACAACAAATGTAAAAATCCAATATTTGTCCTAGAAATGTGTTTTGAAATTAATAATAAATCTATTTAAGGAATAACTCTATTTTGTAAATAATGCTTACTATTTGTTTAAAACAATAAAAATAACATTTACACACGGTAGTATGTGAGGTCACAGGTCAGCACCTATATCTTGAAATGATTTAAATTAAATCCCTCTTAAAAAACGCTCAAAAAAAAAAAAAAAAAAAAAAAAAAAAAAAAAAGAAAGAAATTAAAAGAAATATGAAACACTAAAAGTGCAATAATCAGTAAATTATTTATGTTTAGAAATAAATTATCTTTAACCTTATATTACCAATAGTTTCAGAACTTATTTTTTGTTCTATATGATTTTATAAAACTTAGTTGAATAATTTTATTTTTTATACAACATTTGAAGTAGTTTTTATTTTAGTTAAAACTAAAAGATATTAATGTCATGTTTGATGTCATAAAATATCTAATTATACCCAATGTGTTTTTTTAATTTTGGATTTAAGAGTTATCAAATTATTCTGATAAGGAAAATGTAGTCAATAGCAGTTGTCATGTCAATAAAAATTAATTATAGTGTCAAAAAAAAAAAAATAATTATAATAATTTTAAAATGTACCTGCTAATAACAATTATCATTAAGTCACCCCTTCTAAACCAATGACAACCCCACATGATTTTCACTATTGGAAAATCCTTTCACATGAACAGGTCATCAGCACGTGTGCCAATGA